ATATAACATTTTAGACACATTCTAGACAGTTTATCAGCTAAAAAAAGTTAATTTTGGGGTAAGTTACTCTTTAAGGATAGCCAAAGACAAGCCATCAGGTACGGCACATACTGTGTGCTTGCTCCATTGCTTTAAAAACAGGTAATGATGATGATGATGTTAAACTTTATTCATTTCATAAAACATAAAAAACAATTTCTACGTACAATAAAAAGAAACACAAATAAAATGAAATGAAAGGTGGCAGAGAGAAGAAAATAATCTTATAATATTTGCCCCTTTTTTACAAATACAAACGCAAACTATAAAGATTTTTCAGTTACTAAAATAAAACAAAACATTGAAACTTTCTAGAACAACCAAGTGAATGTCTGCACATTAAACCATTTCATATTTTTTTAACAGTCCAGTCTTTATCATTCTCTTAAACATACATATTGTTGCGGCATTTTTAATATCGTTTTCCAAATCATTCCACAATCTGACTCCTTGAGCTGAGGTGCATCGTTCTTTCAAGCATGTTGTTTATAACAGCTTATTCTCTTTGTAAAGTTTATCTGAACGTTTAAAGGTAATACATTTCGGTGTGCTTTAACTAACAAAATATTATAATCAATCAAATCATAGAACTTCATCAACTTCACTTTACAAAATAATATATTGAGGGATAAAGGTAATTTTTTCGAGTGATGACTCTTATAGCCCTTTTTTGCAAAATAAAAACAGGATTTGTAATAGTCTTACCTGCCTTTCCCCATACCTCAACACAATAGACCAAGTGTGGAACAATTAATGTACTGTATAAAATATACAGAGCTTTATCAATGAACAAGTCCCTTACTTTGTAGAGCAATGCAATAGGTTTTGCTAGYTTTATTCTTAAATAATTTATATGAGGTTTCCATGTTAGTTTCTCATCAATGATGACACCCAAAAACTTTACCTCACTGACTCTACTGATCTCTACACCACCAACTCTAAATGGAATATCAACAGTTTTTTGTTTCTTTGCAAATATCATACAATTTGTTTTGTCCAAGTTTAACAGTAATTTGTTGAGTTTAAACCAGGTGTAGCGATGTCACAGCTTCAGCAGCTCATGTTGTCACAAGCCTCGCCTTTGGTCCATTCATAGTTTACTAAACTTCCGTAAGTGATGTCGGGGATGCCTGAATGGTTGACTTCTTTTTCCAAGATTCAACCCAAAAGCCTGGTTCAGATCATATGAAGTGAGGTTTAAACAATTAACATTTTACTTGTTGTAGAAAACTCTTTATATGACTTTAATGGTGACAGAACTGACCAAGTCTCTGCAGTCACTAAGTGGGAGTTTCTTGATGTGTGGGTAATAAACTGTGATTGATCAGATTGACTGTATCCGGTGGGTTTTGCAGAAGCCATAACTGTTTGGTTGGTTGAACGTTGAGCAGCTGGTCAAAGCAGCCCTGACCTAACCATTTATATTAATCAGAACCTGAGACAGGAAGGTGCTAGCTGCATGAAATTTGAAGTTGTTAAATTATATTTACATGGTTACATCGCATCTTTAATACGACCAATCACGACTTACCTAAACCACGCCCACACCCAAGAAACTCCCACTTAGTGACTGCAGAGCCCCCTTCTCGAACTGGTTCAAGTGGAGCCTAGACTGAAGTGTCTCACTGCTGTTATAAAACAACTCTCTTCAAAGTTTGTCTTCAGATGTTTGCATCTGTTTAAAAAACATGTTGAAGTCGTTTCAATTTGGCATCACCGCCTCAGTGACTAAAAAGCTTTTCAGAGAACCAAAGAAGTCCCTTTGCGTGTCTCAGGATTGTGTTTGGTTGTGTTTCTGCAGGTCAAGGTGTGGTTTCAGAACCGCCGGACCAAACAGAAGAAGGACACCACCAAGGACTCAGACAAGCGCTCCTCCTCCACGTCAGAGTCTTTGGCCACCTGCAACATCCTGCGCCTCCTGGAGCAGGGCCGCCTCCTGTCGGGTCCCGCTCCCCCGCCCAACTCCCTCCTGGGACCGGCCCACTCGACGAACGGCTCCCTGCTGGGGAGCCCAGGCGGGGGCTCCTCCACCTCCCCTGGGATCAGCAGCAGCACTCCTCCCAGCTCCCTACCGGGGGGCACGTTCGGGCTCTCTCTGCCGTCGCTGGGCGGCACCCCGTCGTCTCCGCGGCTGGGCGTCCCACCCCCCCACTCCCTCTGCTTCTCCATGCCCCTGCTGGGGGGCGCTCACCACGAACTGACGTCCACCTACGGCTGCGGCTCCTCGGCCTTCGAGCCGTACATGAGGCTGGACAGAAAGGAGGCAGATCTAGGTGGGAAGAAAACAGTTTCCTAAGTAGCACGTTTTGCTTTTAGGCACTAGGGGACGATGACTTGCGCGAGGGCGTCCCCTCCGCATGTCGCCCTGCCACATGTCTGCCACACGAGCAGCTGCGGACAGGCCAAGGAAGGATTTAAGTGATGGGGGGGTTGCTTTCCGGTAGCGCCGTTTTGTGCCACAGCACAACGATACAAAACAGTAAAAAAAAAAAAGACTCGATGGGAAGTGATATCACTCACCCACGCAAAAAAAGGAAAGAAAAGAAAAGATTTTTGCAAATTTTCTGCGTGTGTGTTTGTTGCAGACAGATGTTTTTATCACCACTCGCTTTACAGTAGTTTTCAGTGACTCTTCACTTTTTGTCCTGTGGGTTTGTGTGTGTGTGTGACTTTTCTCTCTTTACAGGTCTTTGGTTAATGTTCAGGAAAAAAACAAAGCAAAAGAAAAAACACACTTGACACGACTATTTTCAGCCCAGTCCTATCAGAAAACGTGTAATAGGACTGTTAACATCTCTATAATTTTAAGTGTTCCAGTCCATACGAAGAAATGCTAAAACATATGGAACTCAAGTTGATTTTTTTATTGTATAGTGACATTTTTTACATTCACACAGTGGAATTTAGGCCCTGTTGTTAATTTCTCATTAGGCTGCGAGCGTTGGCAACTTGTCAGTGAACATTTATGAGAGAAATCTCCAAAAATGCTCAAATCCTTCTTTAATTTCTTTGTGATTCACAGTTTTGTTGCTTGAATTTTGAACACGTCAAAAAATCAGACAGACAAATCTTCTCATAGTCAGACAGTGATCTGAAACCTTCTCAATTTAGTTTTTGTAAATTCTAGAGCGCCAGAGCTGTATTATGACACAAAGAGCACGTTTGGTGGCCGAGATGTGGTTTGTTAGAGGTGTTTTTTCAATGGGCCAGCACCACATAAACCAAACCCCAACTGAGCCATCTTAAAAACAGTGCCAGACCTGGCCCACATCTGCACGACAAACCACTTGCCATGCCAGTAGTCAGTCATCAGTGCAAGCTTGAGATCAGGTTTGGCCCAAACCTATGTTTGCTCCTATGACTAAAAAAAAAACAAAAAACAAAAAAAACACCCGGGCTACAGCTTTGAGTGTCCCAGTCCAAAAGCCACACTAACGTGATCATTAAATAACTGGTCTTAATCTGCCTCTTTATGTCAAAACTGGACTAGATTAGATTGTAAACAATGGCTGCCAAACTGGGTACAAAGTAGGCTGAGGCAGGTAAGATATGGGCAAAAGTGAGCAACAAAATATTGGACTAATACAGTTTTTCAAGTCTGCACATACATATAAACTAATATTTTATAAAGCTAGTTGTGCAAAATACAGGCACTCAGCATGCTGGCTGCTTGATCACAAACAGAATTCTGTGCAACTAAAAATTTGTCCATTTTCTCGCACAGTTTTTCAGTTGCCAGCAAGTCTCCAACAGTCGCAGCCCAGAGAAATACAACCCAAACTACACTAAGTTTAAACTTTTTAAAACACATATTTTTTTCCTTTTGTTTTAAACAATTTTTTTCTGTCCATACAAAAGCAGACGTTCCATTAAAAATGTTGCGATGCCCCACCACACCACCAGGTGGCGATCACATTAACGTCAACAACAACATCAAGATTCAAATGAAAAATTTCTGTGTGAGACTTAAAATGTTCACAATTAGTTTTTTTAATCTTTGACATAATTTAGCTTAAAAATTTACCACGTCAAGCTAATGTTTAACGAGAGAATAAGAAAAAAATCGTGATTTGTGTTGCACACTTCGACAATGAAGCTGGTTTTATTCTGTTCTTTTTTCCCTTTATTTTTCACACATCAAAAAGTTAGACATTAAAAAATAAGGAATTGTTTCGGAAAAATCTTTAGCTATGCTCAGAACATTCTTCTTTTGTAGTTTGATGTCAGTGATGTCATTATCGCCACCTGTTCGCCCAACGTAGGTACTGCCGCATTTTCTTGGAATTTCTGTTTTCTGTTGGAACTGTTTTGTTTTTCAAAGAAGGAAAGAAAAACCATTAAATTAGAGCTGCAGAGATCTAGCTGCATATTGGGAGACAAGTGAGAAAAAAAATCTATTTACGATTTATAAGCCTGTATCGGTCACTGTTGGATCATTGTAACTATTACATAATTTGATGAACTTGATGCCTGAATGAAGAGTGTTTCTGCAAAGAGAGCAGTTTGTTTCTATTCCTGTTCAGGTGGCCATGTTTGATTTTAGTTCATGTGCTTTCACGATGGAAACACTTAAAAAAACGTAATTGTAGCATCTTAATATCAGTCTGTTTGGTGTCCAGCTGTAGTTTCTTTGTAAAAAAATATTTTCATTTGGTTGTGTATGTGTACGAATTRGTACATGGTAGGATCTGGACAAATGGTGCAAACTCACATATCTGAGCATTTAAAAGAATTGAAAGAAACGATGAAAGCTCATAGTCTGCCAAAGCATTTACAGATAAAGCTTTGGAGGTACCGCACTTCCAATCAGCAAAAATGATCTGAGGTCAGGCTGAGAAAAAAAATAAATCAAACAGAACCAGGTTTAGTTTGATTTACAGACCTCACAGCTTCTACATGAGACTCAAAATCAAACAGAGAGAGGATGCTTGCACAAAATCACATCAGGAATTCTTTCAAACCAAATCTCAATCCAGAGATTTTAGTTGTGCATTTTGTTCAGGACTGAAGCTGCAGCTGAAGGCGGTGAATAGATCTGCTGCTCCATCGAAAATCAGATTTTGGTTCATAACTTGATAATATTTTCGGTTTTGTCAATCTGTTTGAAGCTCTATTTGAATGCATGAAGCTGCATCTCTCTTGCTTTTTATTTTATTTTTAGATTTCCTTTTACCTCTTTGAACTCGCCACATTCAGCTTAGCCTTTTGTCAGCATTCTGAAAAATGTCCACCCATATTTTGTTGTTGTTTAGCTCACTGTTCTTACATTTTGCTAATTTTTTACTAAATGTTAAGTTTAAATGCTGCGTCTAAAGGTGTTAATCTAAATGTAAATGTTGCGGCTAAATGTTAACRTTTACGTTTCAGTATTTCAGAATGAAAAGCCTTTGCCCTTTGTGCACAGCTTTTGTTGTGATAACATCATCATCCTAAAACAATAGCAAATGCTAATGCTGCTAACGCTGCTAACGCTGCTAACGCTGCTAACGCTGCTAACGCCGCTAATGCTGCTAATGCTGCTAACGCCGCTAATGCTGCTAATGCTGCTAACGCTGCTGACGCAGTAAGTACCTTCCTGCAAGACATCAAACTTGCAGTTGTGGCCAGCGTTTGAGCTTCCAGACCACAGGTATTATTCTTATTGTTTTCAATGAACACATTTTGAATTAAACTTTTAAATTCAGTAGCATTAGCAGGGTTAACAGCATTAGCAGCGTTAGCAGGGTTAGCGTGTTTTTTTGTCATGGTTTGATGATGTCACAACAAAAGTCAACAAACGGCAAAGGCTGTGTTTCATTCTGAAACTCTTAAACGTAAGCTTTGTCATTTAGCTGCAGCATTCAAGAATTAGTTTTTACAAATATGTAGATTTACACATTTAGATGTAGGATCCAATATTTACATATGACATTAAACATTTAAATCTAACATTTTGTAAAAATTAGCAAAATGTAAGAACAGTGAGCTAAACAACAATAAAATGTTAGTGGAATTTTTTTAAACTAAAGTGAGATAATAGTAAAAATATGTTAGTGACTTTTTTTTTCATTTCTTTTAAACTTGGCGCCCCATATTCCTCAGCTTTCCCTTCATCAAAAGCACATTGTGTTACATTTTCACACACCGTCTCTTAATTTCCCACCATGAAGCCATTTATTTTCTGTTTTAGTTGAAGGCAGGGTTTTTGTATTCTTRAGAAACGTGATTTTTGTCGTAGTATTTCAGTTTCATCAGTCTTAAATTCTAAGCTAAACTGAGCTTTTGTGTTTTGATCTAAATGAAAGTTATRTTTATTTAGCACAGGAAGAAGCAAAGATTAGGTTTCATTTTATTTACTTCTCATGTAATGACATTTCTCCAGGTTTCCATCTGCTCCAAAGAAACTCCAAATCACCTGCAAGAACCTGCAATTTTGAAACAGTTTGCCCTCAATTTTTGAGCATGTCATGTGAGTTATCATCGTCTTTTCACTCTTGTTTTTCATTTTTCCTTGACAGTGATTTTTTTTCTTTAATTTTCCCGGCCTCCTTTCCTCTCATGCTTGCTGAATGTGGTTCAATGCGCTCTAGAAGAAAGAAAGAAAGAAAAAAAGCAGTCACACTGTCACAACATCAATTTATAAACCTTGTAGAGGCCAGGGGGTGCTCGTTATGTTTCTAGGTGCGGAGGAATTTTTCCTGAGGAGCCTGACCTCAGTCTGGCGGCTCGCGGGACCTTTTTGCACCCGTGTAGCAGCGCTTGTAGCTGAAAATTTCTTCTTGTTGTTTTCAGAGCTGCAGAAAAAAAAAAAAAAAAAAAAAAACATGAACTCTGAGCTTTTTGCAGTAGTACACCTGTGCTCTTGTTTTATTTTCTATAAGCACCATCCATAATTCACACGCAGTGGCATCAAATATTGAGCAGTGAAACGGAGCTGAGAGGTGAGGAGACCAGCCGCTCATAAAAAAACGATTTACCCCGCGACAAAATATTTGTTTGTCCTCACATCCACTTTGTTTCATTTTAAAGAAATGGCTCAGATGTTTTTAAAGTGGGGACAGAATATAAACAACACATGTCGGAGGAGGTAGCTCTGTTGGAGAAACTGACTGATAAGCTAACAGCTAGTTCCAACATGGCTGACAACAAAATGTATTCTTAAAGCAAATTCAATCTCAAATGTTTCAATGTGGTTCAAACAAGTGTTTCTTTTGTTTTACATAGTTATTTAAATAGAATTTTGATGTTATTTCTTTGCAAGTGCAAATAGCAGCTAGCTAGCTAACTCGCTAGTGCTTCCTGTCACAGGAAGCACTAGCAGGCTAGCTGTAGCACTTCCATCTGAAATGTCAAAATATTTTTTCTACCAGAATATCAGTGTAATGTGAAACTTACAGCTATATAAATGTTTATAAAGTAGCACCCTTCCCCTAAACCACTAAAGCATTTTAARATTGGAGTTGTTTTAAGGCCCTGTCACACTATAGGCTAACGTTTTATACAACTTATAAAAATTTTCAAGACGCTGAAGATGGAAATACACATAATCAACTGGAAGCCTCTTTTAGACTTGTACATATAGTACTTTAATGCTAACAAATTGATCAAAAATATAAAATTTATTAGTAATTTAGTCAAAAAAAATGTTTCATAAGTTGTCTAAAACATTATAGTGTTACAGGGCCTTTAAGGAGGCATAAATATTCATAATTGTTCCATAAAACCTCACGTCAAATGATCTGAACTGACACTTCAAGAAATTAAACTTTTTATTTTTGTCAGAAACTGTTGATAATCTCCCGATAAGTAAAACATGTTTATTTTTAGTCGAGGTGTTTCTTGACCAGGTTCAGTCCTTTCACACACGTTTCTCTTGTTATTCAGCTCTGACTCTTTTCTGTGTCTGCACGAGGATTTTTCTGTGATGTAAATCTGCAGGTACTGTATTGTGCGCTCAGCGGTGTAGACTGAAGACTGGTCTTCTGGTGCAGGGGGGTCAAAGAAGTGAGATGCAGCTTCTTCTCTAGGCTTGTAAAGAGAAAAGAAAAAAAGCCTTTCTTGGGTTAAACAAAGCCTTGTATTATTTTTTTTGGGTTTGTTTTTCTTTAGTTTGTTTTTTTGCTGCCTAAGGKGTTCATTTTCAAACTGTTTTTCACTCCAGCTGTGTGGCAGGGTCACTTTTGATGCAATCTGTGACCCCATCATTTCAGAAACACTACAGGCCCTCACATGGCCGCTCCATCGCTGTGTGAAAATCTTCCTTTTATTTTTCGAAAAAGAAACGTTTTCTCTTTGGTTTACATTTTCGTTATGCACATAGGTTCTGCAGAGGCTCTGATTTGTTTTGTTTGAGCAAAAAAAGTAAGTCTAACCTTAAGCTAATGGCACCAGCT